TTTTTATCTTTTGCTTAAGAAATATTGTCTAAAAACAAAGTGATATATCGGTATTGGTGACCTTCCTGTATTTTATCTCACTTTTTTCATTATTGTAACCGGATTTCTCTCAAAACCGCAAGTGTATTTTATCGCTTCCGATAATGATTTTAAAGCTAGATTGACAAATAATTCTCAAATGTTTATTAAAATAAAAGCAGTCGAAAATTTATTTATTATTTGAAATCATTTAAATTATTTAATTGCAAAATTTATAAATTGTCTCTTATATATCACATGATAACAAACAAAGAGCAAGAGAAATGTATACATGTATTATTTATTCGAAAAAAAATATGATTCTTTGTTGATTTGAACTCAAAGTATAATATATTGCAAAATATGTATGTATAATGAAAATCGAAAATATCTCTCGTTAGTTTCGCACAATATGCATATCAGATAAAATTGTTTGTCACATTTAATCTCGTTTCGAGATATAAAACTTCAAAAAGTTGATATGGATCGTTACATAATTTATGTAATACATATGATTGTAGGTGTTCACGTGTGATTATCATGGGGGATTAATTGTTATACCACAATACACGATATATTGCATTGCATTAAGATTTCCTTAATTTATGCGAGGATGCATGCGAATACGTGAGAATGCAAGAAAAATCATGTTAATTGATTCGAAGCGAAATTATCTTTTTTTAACTATATTATTTACAGGGAAAGATCCAGGTATATATCTCGCAAATTTTGAAAAATTTGATATTAAGATATAGAGTTTGATATTGTGAAATGTAATATTAATTGGACTAAAGAATTGAAATTACGAAATTTTAAATTTTGAAATGTCCGCATGCGTAATGAATATTATAATAAACAGCTGGTCATTTTTGCATATTTGAGACCGACTAGGTAATATCTCATCTTTATTTTTTCTCTTAATATTTCTTTTTGCGTTCATAATTTATGTTGTGACTCTGCAAATATTTCAAAAAATTGATTCTTGTAAGAATTATGAACCTTCGTCATAAAAAATAGAAAACAAATTATTTAAAAAAATAAAAATGTACGTTAGTCTTTTTATAATTAAATATGTACTCTGTTTAATTTAATGAAAACTGTGAATTCTTATGTAATAATAAGGTTCATAATTTTCACAAAAATAAATTCTTTGAAATATTTTTTAATTTGCAAAGTCATCCCGGGAAAAAATGAAGAAGATTTCACTATATATGTGTAGATCTTATTAGATTTAAAAAGAGATCTTAAGAGATCTTCATTTTGACCTGATCAAAGTAGATCGATGTAGATATACTTTGATCTATATCCTAATATATATAAACATTTATTAAAAAAAAAATAATTGTGTACTGTACTATATTGTACATCCATGTAATTTTAATTTTCACATTAAAATCTAGTGTTGGCTCATAAAGGCTTGTTGAGAGTGTTGTTTGATAAACTTTATCTCATTAGATATAATTATGCAGGCAATCCTCTTGATCTACTTACAAAGGAAGTTTCACAACTGTCCGGAACCGATTTGATTCTCCATGAAATATGTTATTAAACACGAAAAAATTTTTTAAACAAAACTTAAAACTTGATCTACTAACAAAGAGATTCAGGTATGTATCTCATGGATTTGGAAAATTTATTGATATTAAGATAAAGAGTTTGACATCGTAAAAAATAATACGTAACATTTAAGTGCCAATGAGTTAAAAGATTGAACTTACAAAATTTTAAAAATTGAAATGGCCACGCTCATGACGGATATCATAATAAACAGCCGGTCGTTTTTGCGTGTTCTGAATAAATTATGAATTATACTATTGAATTATACAACTGAATTATGAATTATACTCTCTGCCAAACACATTCATAAAGTTTCCCGGGAAAAAAAGAAGATGATTTCATTATATATGTGTGGATCAAATTAGATCAAATAAGATCAAATTGTATCTGATGAGATTTAGTTTTTAGATATAATCAGATTTTCAGAAATCTAGCTTGGCCTCACATGATTGATGTTATAGCTATTAAGATCTAAATAGATAATCTGCGATGTAAATAAAATGCTATATTGAATATAAAGAAAGCATATTGTAGATCTACGAGAATATATTGATATATATGAATATTTAATTTTATACAATAAAACTAAATGTAATAAAGATTAGATCTACAGAGATATAATAACATCAAAGAAGATATATATATGTACAAGTGTAATCTAATAACAATTGGAGTACACACACACACACACACACACACACACACACACACACA